CTGCAGCACGAGCTGGCAGCACTTGCTGCTGCTGCTGCTGCTGCTGCTGTTGCTGTTGCTGTTGCTGCTGTCGCTGCTGTTGCTGCTGTCGCTGCTGTTGTTGCTGTTGCTGCTGTCGCTGCCGTTGTTGCTGTTGCTGCTGACGCTGCTGTTGCTGCTGTTGCTGCCGTTGTTGCTGTTGCTGCTGTCGCTGCAGTCGCTGCAGCTCCTGCTGTTGCTGTTGCTGCTGCTGTTGCTGCTGTCGCTGCAGTCGCTGCAGCTCCTGCTGTTGCTGTTGTTGCTGCTGTCGCTGCTGTCTCTGCAGCTGCTGCTGTTGCCGCTGTCGCTGCTGTTGCTGCTGTCGCTGCTGTCGTTGCTGTTGCTGCTGTTGCTGCTGTTGCTGCGGTTGCTGCTGTTGCTGCTGTCGTTGTTGTCGCTGCAGCTGCTGCTGTTGCTGTTGTCGCTGCGCTTGCTGCTGTTGCTGCGGTTGCTGAGGTTGCTGAGGTTGCTGATATTGCTGCTGTTGCTGCGGTTGCTGCGGCTGCTGCTGGTGCTGCTGTTGCTGCGGCTGCTGCCGTTGCTGCGGCTGCTGCTGTTGCTGCGGTTGCTGCGGTTGTTGCGGTTGCTGCGGCTGCTGCTGTTGCTGCTGTTGCTGCTGCTGCTGCTGCTGTTGCTGCTGCTGCTGCTGCTGTTGCTGCTGTCGCTGCTGGCGTCGTCGCCTTCGCCTCGATATTCTCCGCCGCGGCTGCTGCTGCGCGTCCCCGTTGCTGGGCTTCATACGCAGAGCAGAGGAGGCTGAACCCATGAGGAGGGGGTTGTATGTGCCTACAGGCTGCTGCTGCTGCTGCTGCTGCTGCTGCTGCTGCTGCTGGTGGTTGTTGCAGTAGCTGCTGTTGCTGTTACCTGCTGCTGCTGTTTTTGTTTGCTGCAGTTTCTGCTGCTGTCTGCTGCTGCAGCGGCTTCACCTTGATGCTAGAGCTTTGGGCTTGTGTGTATTTTCTGGTGATCTGAATGCTGGGGTTTATAACTACAAGACATGCAGCAGCTCCTCAGCTGCTGCAGCAGCAGCTGCTGCTGCTGCTGCAGCAGCAGCAGCAGCAGCAGCAGCTAGC